AATCGTTATGAATTATAGCATGTGTTAAAGTTAAAGTGACTGTGGAAATTCTGTGTATTGCAAAGTTGTATTGAGAAAGAATAAACTAGTTTTATCTAAGAAAGAACTTGTATCGCTGAAGTTCTTCGGAAAGAATTTTTACGGGAAATTAACAAACGAACAGAGACGTAACATAAATTTATGCCAGGAAAAAGCTTGATGAAATAAGGCAGTTATTTTAAGTATGTTGCAACATAGATTAAAATTATTCCTAACAAAACATATATGTCTAAATATCTTTAGCAAAGCACTGCTTGATAAGTTTGATTCACGGAAATTCTACAAATGAGAAACGTATATAACCGATTAGAGCATTCCATTATGTATTGTATAAGCCCAAAATTATAAATTTAAACATCTCAACAGTTAAACGTCTGCTAATTTAATGTACAGTTGACTTAAAGAAAATATTCTTTTACTACTTAGCTTCTAAACCTTTATTTTATTTTCACTTTATTATTCAAGAGGTGAGTTAATCTAAATTTTTACCGTTATATATTACTAATTACGCTCTGATTCTGTTAAACAAAGATATTATTATTTACCTGTAAGTAGTTGATGTCCAGTAAAACCTTAATGCGTAACTGTCAGACAGTGTCTCAGCGTTATACTTCAGGGCTTATAACGCAAAAAAATTGTGTTTGATTCATGTGGTGGAACAGCGCAGATTGCTCATTGTACAGATTTGTGCCTTAAAATACCTCAGGGTTCAGTCTTTGGGCTTTTACTCTTTTGTCTATACATTAATGACATTCAAAGTGGCATAATTCAGATGCGTCGTTAGGTATTTAAAAGATTTGGGGCTCGGGCCCTAAGGCGCGGGAATTTTCGGCGTTTCAGTATGATATCGATCATGGTTTTCTATTCTGATTTTTTAAGATACCAACTGTGAATTCGGGGCACTGTCAAATAGAATCGGGCACAGGCCCTATGTGCCAGTGCCTAACGACGCCTCTGGCATGATTAGTTTGTTTATTATTTGTTTGTTTATTTGAAGTTAAGCACAAAGCTACACAATGGGCTATCTGTGCTCTGCCCACCACGGGTATCGAAACCCGGTTTCTAGCGTTGTAAGTCCGCAGACATACCGCTGGGCTACTGGGGGGCTAAGGCATGATTAGTAAATTAGTAAAGTTTGATGGTGACATTAAATATTTGTGTATTTCAAGCTGTATTGAACTAGAATCAATTAGTAAATTAGACAAATATTTGTTAACTTGTCTTTAATTATAATAAATGCGAAGCAATGTACTTGTGTTACCATAATTTGTATCACAAGGGCCATATATAAATTGGAACAAACGTTTATAGCGTGACTAAAGAAAAGGATTTTGACACAATGGTGGATAAGTTACTCAAGCCATCAAATCAGTGCTCTGTTACTAGTAGTAGAACTAATATAATTCAAGGACGTGTTTATAGCCATACTGACTACAAGTAATTATCTCTAAACACAAATCTCTAGTTAGATCTCACTTGTAATTAATAATACTGTTTTCAGTTGTGATCTCCTTATCTAAAAAAGGACATTGAAATACTAGAAAGGGTTTAGAGGAGAGCTATGAGAATGGTTCCACAAAGGGAAGGTTCTCTTATAGAGATATGTTAAGATCTTTCAACGTATTTGCTCTTGGGAAAATAACGGTAAGCTTACGAAGCTTATCTGGAGATCAATCGGATTTCTACAGTTTTTATCGCACAAAACATCTAAAATATATTTGATTTATTAACACGTAACAAAGAATTATGGGCCTAAGGTCTCAGTTTCTATTCTATTCAAAATACTTTCATCTCACGACTTAACAGTATATTCGAGATCTCATCTCAAGCCTGGGGCACTGGTCTTATTCCTCTTCATTCTAATCTCTTTTCTCTAGAATAATCTACAATCTACTTTTACCCCAGATACCGCTAACCTACTTCTAGTTCAAAGCAAAAAAAAAAAAACCTGCACATATATCCTCCACCACAGACCACGACTCACCTGACAGTCAACCTAATTTTAATTTAACTCGTGACGATATCGAAGAGAAGCATAAAATAGCGCTTTTAGTCTAATATGAAAGCTGTAAATTTATAATTTTACGCTTCATAAAAGTTATTTATTGAATTGTTTTCGAACTCTAGTTATTTAATATTTTTCTACATAGTTTGGAGGAGCATGCTGCTGTTAATTTTAACATGCCAGTAAACATCAACTCATCCTTCCGTGATGTATGTATATATAGCTATTGCCAGGGTTAAAACCGTTGTAATGACCAGAAACGAACTTGGCTGGGAATTCCTTGGCAAACACAGGATTTTGATATAAGTTGTATTACATAACATGCAAAGTAAGATTATTAGTAACAGGCAGACGCTAAGAAGCTACAAGTAACAGTCCAGAGTTACTGGACAAAGATGACAAAAAACTTAAGAGCAAATAAGCCAAGATGTCATGACATGATGGCACACATATTGTAAAACCTATTAAACTAATCAGACAAGATGCCACCACACAACTTAAAGAAGAAACTAGTAAGCAAGAGAGACTTACACACAATGAAAATATTTACTAAATAAAGATGACGTTACTGCATTTAATTCAAGAAACTACGAAACAAAGAGGGTATGGCTTTGCTATGCTGATGTTGTAAAAACCTACTAAACAAATACGGCAAGATACCACATGTGATTTAAAAAACTGCTAAACAAAGAGGTAATAGCGTTACGATAAATACGTTGTAAAGAAACTTACTAAATGAAAACAGTAAGGCGTTACGGTACATATACATTGTAAAAACATACCTTCTAAGCAGACATGACAAAATTTACAACATAAATATTATAAAAACGTACATTTTAAACAAACATATAGAAAGGCATTATTACAAGCATATTGTAAGACCTACCTAATAAACAAACACGGGAAGGCCTCATGACATATATGTTGTAAAATCTACCTACTAAATAAACATGGCAGGTCATTACCAAATACATATAGTAGAAATCTACCAACTAAACCAATATGACAAAGCTTTAATGCACATGTATCTTGTGAAACCTACCTCTTGCGTGAGCCATCCATCCTGAAAAAAGAACACATGTGTATAGATTTTTTTTTTTTCATTTTTCCGTTATTTCCAAAGTGATGGTCCATCACTTTGGTGCCCACCGGGAAATTTCCCGTTATCCCGGTGGGCAAGTCCGCCACTGATCGTAAGCATGTCACATCTTTCGTGATCTGATCATAACTGGTAGCGGACAAGTTGCGGTGAACTTATCCCAGACATGCAAGAGATCTGTGAAAAAACAAATAATACAGACGTGTAACTATTAGTGATATATTGAAAGATGTAATCGTGACAGCGTGTCTTAGCAGAAAAGATCATCAGAGTAAAATTTTTTTTTTACTCTTCAGAAAAAAAAACAGTTAATAAAATATAGTTAGAAACTATATATGGCTATTGGTTAAAATGGGTTTTTGAAGCGTCTATGATCCTACGTTTTATGTTAATTTAAGGTATTAACATGATAGTGAGTGGAGACTTACACAATACACCCATATACCATATACTATATAAAGACGAAAAGCCGCCCATCTGTCATGCCGATATCTCAGCCGTTGCGGTACCAATCCACACACAACTTGCAGGAAACGACGATGTTTTCTGCAGCGAGAAGTAAGCTTGTCTTTCTAAAATTCTTCTAGCCATATATATATATACACATAATAAATGATATGCTACTTTGGGAATATAATCAGATTTGAATGCAGGTTGTTAGAGATTGTGATGAGTAATAAAATCGAATCTGGTATACGTGCGCCCCACAAAAATCATAATCATTGGCTGAAATTCCCCATTACATTTGCTTGGTTGGCAAGGAGACATACTGATGCAACACCACCAAATTTTGTCCAGTCGGAACCCTCGGCATTTTTTTACCCGCAGCACATTTCAATTTTGAAAATGTCCAAGTTGAAGCGCGCTTCTTCAGCTCAGCAGGGTGACAAAGCCAAAACCAGGAAGACAGTCCGAAGAGAAGATCCAGAAATTCCTAATAAAATTCACCGTCTTTACCATCACAATTAATAATTTGCAGGATCATACAGTTGACCAAGTATGTCTTTGAGAATCGATTTTTTCGCATGTTTCAGTCTATAAAGATTTATCAAGTAGAAAACTTGAACATTACTTAAATATATACAGAAGTCTAAATGCTAATAAAGCAATACTTATAGGAGATGACCAAATAAACATAAAAAATTTTGGTTTCATGAAATACTAGAAATAAGATACTCATTCTCCATACAAATATTGTTACTAGATTATAATTCATCTTTAGAAAAAGTGTTCATAAAAGATTTATTTAGAAATAAATTTGAGAAGAAAAAGTAATCATTATTTCCCGTCATATGACTGGCATTCAGCTTGTCTATTAATAATTTGGATTTTGGCTTTCATAC